TATATATAGTTGTTTGGTTTTTGAGACAATGTCTTGCTTTGTAGTGCTGGATGATCTTGAACTCAGTATGTAGCCCAGGGTGGCTTTGAATTCACAGTGATCCTCCTGCCTCAGCCTTCCAAGTGGTGGAATTAGAGCCTTGTGCCACTCTGCCTGGCTTAAGAAACATATTTAAAAACCCCACAGCAAAATTCCTGGCATGTATAGTATGTATGTTAAGTGTATGTATAGTAAGTACTTGATAAATTGCAACTAGTGTTATAAAAATGGTTACATTAGAAATATCCTAAATATTTTTACAAGAAATGAAAAAATATTCTTATTTTTGTAGCTATACTAATCACTAAGTCAGTTTCAATAATCATCCTAGTGAGATGAAAAGAATCCTTCCCAGACAAGTAATCCTTGAGAATCTATGATATAACCTAGGTGAATGATTCCAAATCAAATACATTATCTTTCAAAGATATAAAGCAAAATTTTCAAATTATAAAGCAAAATGTAGACATGGAAAACAACTAAGGATTCAATTACAGCCAGTTATTTAATGAGTCCAAGTTTTACAGACCATTATGGTCATTATTTAAGAAAAGAAAAAAAAAATCCCACTCAAGGAAATGACATATATTTCCACAAACAAATGGCAATACCAAAAATAAATATAATCATAGAATTATACTGAAAATTATATGATTTCACCAGAAGTAGAATGCCTACCTTCAAAGCAGTAATTTCTAAGGGGAAAAATAAAATCTATAAGCCCCCTTTTTTGTTTACCTGGATGAGTCATTGTGACTGGCTCCTCTTTAGATTTATTATTGTAGATGACTACAGCAACTGCATTGTGGAAGGCAGCCCGTGATATTTTCTCCTTAAACGTGCAATTTCCTCTCTGCAGCAAGGCAATCCACTGTTTGATATTAGGAGGAACAAAGAACCGAGTTTGAGGATCACAGCCCAGATGATCAGCAACTAGATGAAAGAAAAGAAAAATATATTAATGATAAATAAATCCAGTCTTTATCAAAGTGCTCAACTATCCTCTAAATATTATATAAATCTACAGTACTTTGGCAGCTCACTGACCACAGAGCTATGAATACACACAATCTGAATTAACATCTGTACAGGAAGAGAAATGCAGACTGACAACAAATTGAAAAAGACAGTTATTATCCACAACAGGTTGGTAAGAAAGGAGGAAGAAAACCCTAGAAGCTCAAGTGACAGCTCCAGCCCTGACTTTCTGCCCACTCATTTGCACTTACTAGTCCCTACACACACACTACTACCACCACCACTGTGAAGAAATATGAGATTAATTTTGCTTGGGGAAAATGAGGAAGCCAAAGTAACCTTCAGTTCAATTACCAAGGTCTTGAGGAAATTCAAGCATGTTCAAATAAATTTCTTGGTAAATGTCAAAAGAAATCAGTTAAGTTCAGTTTCACCCTCTATTTAGAATTTTAAGTAGCATGAAATGAAAGGAGAATATTCCTCAAATTTATATTTATTAGTGAAAATTATATCTCTATGTTAAGACACATGCACTGTAATTCCCAGTAGGGTACAAGACCGTCCCTTGGGACTGCGAATTATATGGCCATGGCATGCTTCCACCAAGTTCCTCAATTTTTAATTTTCCACATATGGTCATAATTCTTGACACCATCTGAAAATCTTAAGAAGTCCTTGGCTGCTCTTCCTACCCCTACTCTCACATTTAGAACAGGCTGAAATAAAAGAGCTAGGCAGCCCAGAAGGAGAAAGGAGCCACCAAAGTAAGGTACAGAATACAAGCCAGTCCAATGCTTTCAGTCATTTCAAGTCTTGTGTGTACTGGAAAGGCAGAGAGGGGAACACAGTACACTGACCCATAAAGTAACATCAGAGGGAAATAAATTATATTTATAAAAAATTAAGCTCTAGCTGGACATGGTGGCGTAGGCCTGTAATCCCAGAGATGGAGAGGCTGAGTCAGGAGAATCATGACTTTGAGGCCAGCCTAGGTTAATAGTGAGTTCAAAGCCAGCTTGAATTACACAGCAAGGCCCTGTCGCAAAACAAAAACAAAACCTCAAACCAAGCATAAACAAATAACACAGTATAATTACAGTATATAAAGAAATGACACCAGTGAGGAAATGTTTGTTTTCTACACACCTGGAAGCACAATGCTTAGCAAAAGAAACCAAGTGCTTAGTACTGATCTGTAAAATGCAGAGATGCCAGTAACTTCATTGAAAAAAAAACCTACCTACCATTCTGACTTACACATCTTCTTCACGTTTCATTATAATTGCCATGGTAAGGGGTAGTAACCAGAGTGACCTCTGAATGCCTAACAAGTAGGAGATGAATATTTTCATAATTTACTGTGATTGATACTATCTACAAATTTTTATACTCTAAAACATGAACCTTGCCTTAACCAAATTCAGTGAGGAGGGTTGGGGGGATAGTTCAGTGATAGAGCGCTTGCTGAGCATTTGCAAGGACCTTGGTTTGATCTCCGGCACTGGCAATAAAAGTATTTAAACTTTTATTTGAGGGGGTGTGACACTAGGGATTGAACCCAAGGCCTTGCAAATACTAGACAAGCATTCTGCCACTGAGCTACACCTTAACCCTTTTTAAAATTCTCAGTCAGGGTCTTGCTAAGTTGCTCAGGTGGACTCAAACTTGTGATTCTCCTGCCTCAACCTCCCTACGGGCTGGGATTAGAGGCCTGTGGCACCATGGCCAGCTAGTAGTCAACGACTGAAAGACACAGTCACCGAATTATGAAACTTTAAAATCCTAAAACAGATTGTTTACTTTCAGCGATAATCTGTTTCACAGATAATTACACTGTTTCAAAATACAAACATTTAGGCAATGTGTTATGATAACCTCATTGTCTTAGGAAGTCATCCAACACTGTGTCCAAAGAAGGAGCAATCTAAGAACTGGTTTTAAGTGTTTCATTTGTTCTTTTTTTGGTACCAGGGATGGAACTTGGATCCTTGTGCTTGCAAAGGAGGCAGCGGAACCACTGAGCTAAATCCCCGGCCCTCATTTGTTATTTTTCAAAACATACTGCTGTACAAACCCGGGCAGAAAATGCAGAAAATCAAGAATACTTAAAAGGATCTGTAAGCTTGTGTTCTGTGAAACTTTTATTCATTTTTCTGTGACTTATCTTTCCTTACTGTAGTTTCACAATAGAGTAACGAAAAAACAACATATTTACAGAATCAGCAAGGCCTGGGGTCTGAACCGCAGATCATCTACTTGCTAGTTCAGTAACTGTGACAGGTCACCTAAATTCCCGCATCTTTAATTTAGTTATAAAGATTGAGATACTTTTGTTTTGGTACCGGGGGATGGAACTCACAACCTTGTGCTTGCAAGGCAGGCGTGGTGCCACTGAGCTAAATCCCTGGCCCTACTGAGACACTCTTATCTCACAGTTCTATATGTGAAAAAGCCCACAGTAACTCCTTTTACTCTTGAGGGCTTAAACAAATTAATTCCCTTTCTTTCTATCAGTATCCATCCTATCTTGTCCTAGCCTTGGTGGTCTTCTGAGCCAATGTATGTCAACTCCCCACAGCAGCGTCCCTCCCACAGCCCTCTGCTCCAATCAGTTTGGCTCCCAGGTGTCATCCTCTGCCCGTTTCTTCTTACGTGTCACAGTCCACAGAGAAGAGCAAGTCAGGAATATTCCCCATGTCTCAGAAAAGATACCACAAGGAACGCAACCATTGAACAAAATATATCAAACCTAACTGAAGAGAACTTTAAAATTCTTTTCAAGGCATCTGCACCAAGAACAGATTCTGTGAACAACTGCAAGATCAAAACAAATTCTAACAGACTGTATGAGCAAAAGAATGTTCCTGTCCCCCAAATTCATCCAAATCATCATCCATAAAAGGTTCTGAAAATATTTATATCAGTAAGAATATAACATGCAATAACAAACAAGAATAAGATATGCAAGTTTCTGTCCCAGGAAGGAGTTATTATTCAGAAGAAGAAAAGAAGGGGTTTTCGTAACCACTTAATACTGCAGTATACTCATTCATCTAGTTATTCCTTCCCATAATTAAAAAATAATACAAATAATAGAAATAATACTAACAGTTCTAAAAAACTTTCCAAGACTGACCACTGTGATTAAGCAGTACTAATTCAAAATTTAATGAGTTGTTTATACTTGAAACAATTTATAAGCGAAGACATATTAAAGCAGAAAAGAGCTATGAAATATGAACCACTAAAATCTGTCAATAGCAATTTTGTCCAAATTTAGATTTTACTTGTTTTTTTCAAATTTCATAAAAGGATGCTACCTATTTATTAGTTACACAGCTGAGAAAAACTTATTCGAAGTTATAACAAAAATTTGAATTTACAGGTAACACAGAATACCATACCAAAGAAGCACTTAAAATTCCCCCCATATGGCCTTTCCTGTTGAGTGAAAAATAAATGGACTTTCTTTTATTTATTTATTTATTTATTTATTTATTTATTTATTTAGTGAGGCTGGGGAGTGGGCCCAAATACGCTATGCAAGTGCTCTACCGCTAATCTACTCCTCCAGCTCTACTTTTTCTATTTTCCTTTTTTTTTTGAATCTACAAATCAAATTACATATACTTAAAGGTGAACAGCATGTTGAGATACATACACATGGTGATCAGAATATTCGGTGACTATTTAAATTGCAATTTATCCCTGTAAGACACGTTGCCATTAATCCCTCAAAGTCCTTCTGCTTGTTTTGAACATAGTTATCCCCTTGTTCTTGCTACTTTCTGAAGCTGTTCTGGGAACTGTCTCTCCTACCTTTACAAGGTGTGATAAAAAATACGGTGAATGCTGCTGCCTACTGCCACCCGGCAAAGAAGCAGTCTCGTATTACAGCATGTTCTCATCCACCTTATTTGCCAAATCTGACACCCTGCAACTTCTCGCTTTTCCCCAAAGTCAAAATGACCTTGGAAGGTGAAAGTTTTGAATTGATTCAGGACACTGAGGCAGCCATGACAGCACAACTAAAGACATTTGCAAAAGAGGACTTCCAGAACTGCTCTACAAAGTGGCAAGAAGGATGGGACAAGTCTGTTCACAGTGAGGGAGAATCTTCTGAGTAAGATTAATGCCAACGTGCCTTTTACCAGAATAAATTTTAAAAATTTAAACATTCACCATTATCTTTTAATCACATCTCATGTATGTTAGAATGATTATTATAATCAAGCTGATTAATATATCATCACCTCACACAGCAATTCTGAATTTCCTCTGCCTAGAAACATTTTATAACAGCACAAGACAAAAAAAATACTCTTAAAGCTACTTACCTATTGATAGGAATCAAACAGTTACAGGAAGAATACACTAACTTATGATCTTAGCAACCTGCTAAATACCACAGAGAAGTACAGTGGAATAAACACCTTGGTTTTGATTGTTAAAGAATCTCCAGCCCTGTGTGGTAGTTCATCCCTGTAATCCCAGCGCTTTGGGAGGTTGAGGAAGAAGAATTTGGAGTATGAGCCCAGACTGAACAATTTAGCAACTTGACAAGACACCGTCTAAAAAAATTCTCTAAACTTACTGGGGTGGCATGACTGGCACACAGATATCAACAACAGAGTAGAAAGTCCCATCAAGAAGAATGCTTAGACATTCAGGAAAGGAAGAGAACAGCGTAGTGGTAAAGGTTTAGTGGGAGTTCAAACCTAAATAGAACTCCTCAAAATTGTAAACGCAGAAAGGATGGGGGTACAGAAGCTACTAGCACAGGAACATAGAACAAAGATCAACCCCTACTACTGAGCTCTTACATATCAAAAGCAATGATGTAATAGAAGCTGCAACACTATACGAATGTAAGATTACGAAGTTCTGAGGAAAAGACCTCAACTGTAATGAGAAAAGTGTAAGAATATTCCGGCACAAAGAAAATAGAAATATCA